TGATGATCAGTTTAAAATCAAGGGCTACGCCGGCACTCCAGGTACACCACAGAATCCTCAAATGGAAAAAAAAACCCCAACTAAACTCAGTGTTTCTGCACGTAATGTGTGAAATTTACCTTGCAATATACTGAAATACAGACTACTACATTTACATTTCACAGTTGAGGATTTTACCTCAGGTGTTTAGCTCTTTGCATACATGAGCTCCAGCGTTATCAAATTAACATTATCATGTGAAATAAAGTAAAACCGCTCAGAGATCATTTGTTTTACACAGTATGATAATAGCGAAGTGTACTTTTGTTCAAGAAAGGCAGTGAAAGTTTATTTGTATGAGACTTTTGATCAACATATAATGAAAACAATGCAAAATTAAAGCTGCAATCAGAAATGCGAGGGCACTCACACTGGGTGCATCGAGACATGCTAAACACCTCCTCTGTCCACTAGGTGGCGATGAAAAATATTCTTTTAATTTTCTGTTCCTCATCATTGGTAGAGATTGTCTGATGCGTCTTTGAGTTACAGCAGTTTTATGCTTTATGGCAATTATCGAAATTTGCCATGCTGCCATGGCAACACCATTTTGCGAAATCTCAAAAGCTTCGCCATTACATGCCACCCAGGTCTTTAACTTCAACCTGAGATCATGTTGATCTCCTGAAATCCCGAGGAGGAGTTCGCTAAAGTACGAGGCCTGAAAACTGTGAAAATTTTAGCTAACATTACACATTAAATTCAAAATGTCTGATTTCCTGTTGGGTTTAGGATATGGCTCCAAGAGATTTTTTTGTAAATCTTGATGTCTTTTATCGGGCTGCCAAATTTTAGACTCCTAAATGAAGAATGGTGTGAGGGCTAGTTTTTTTTTTTTGTTTTTTTTTTTTATTGTAGCTGGCGCTGTGGAGCCTTGCTACAATGGTCAATGGAAAGGACCATAAAACATGAAACCTACTTCCTGTTTTGCGGTGATTCACCCTGCCACCAGGGTGCGCCATTCAACGTAAACCCACAATTTTAACACTGAAGTATCATCAAAGTGTGATGTTTATTCTGACCGCTTTTGAGGTGGATGGGGTAAACCTGGGAGAAGCAATACATCAAAGTCTCAATAACTACATGTCTTGCTCCCACTAGGTGCCACTCTAACTATTCAAACCTGTTCAGGGTGGGACTCTCAGCATGCCTGTGAAGTTTAGGAGACTAAATTTCTTTGAGTTATAGCAATTTCGTGCTTCATGGCGAAGCATCAAAATTCGTCATGCCGTCAGGGTCACACCTTTTGACAAAAACTCACATTTTTCAATGTGAACTAAAACCCACTGTGTGCGGCTTTCCTGGACAAATTACGGTTGCTGGCAATGAAATGTGTTTAGGGGCGGAGCCTTATCACACCTGAGTGGTTTGGTCCAGACTGGAAAATGTATGAGTGAATGAGATCAAAATGAAAATTCATGAGGAGTGATTACATTTTGCAATGTCGCCATGGCCACGCCCTTTGACAGAAACTCAAAAGCTCCACATTTCAATATGGTCCAGATCTGTAGTTCAGACTGAGCAAATATGAAGTTGATCGGATAACATCTCTAGGAGTTCGCCAAAGTGTAACATCTGGAAATGGCAAAATGTGCACTAAAATTGAATCTTCAATCAATAGATCCCCTGAAATACAAAAGCGTCTTCCCTGCTAATGGAGGATACTTTGCATCCTGGTCGTTTTCATCCACACTCTGTCACACGCTGTCACCTGCAGGTTTCATGGCTCCGGAGCTGCTGAAAGGTGAGGAATACGACTACTCTGTGGATTATTTCACTCTGGGAGTCACTCTGTACGAGTTTCTGGCTGCTAAGGGGCCCTTCAGGACCCGAGGAGAGAAGGTAGAAGCACTGAGACGTGCTATGTGCGATCTCGTGTCATTTTCTTTTTGAAGCAGTTTGTAAATTTACCATTTGATCTTTCTGATCTTTTCTCCTCAAGAACCTCTCGTTTCTTTCTGTCATGCATCTTGCTGTCTGTGCAATTATACAGATTTTAGAGTGTTAAACAAACGTGACAATCAGGTTTTCATTCACCTTCTTTTTTCTGCTTTGGTTTTAATGTTAAAGGTGGAGAATAAGGTGGTGAAGAAGCGGATTTTGAATGATCCGGTAACTTATCCGGAGAAGTTTAGCGAGAACGCCCGGTCCATCTGTGAGGGTCTGCTGTGCAAAGAGGTCGACAAGAGGCTCGGCTTCAAGAACGACTCGTGCGATGAGCTGAGGGCGCACCCTTTCTTCAGTGAGATTAACTGGAGGAAACTGAATGCAGGTCAGACAGAAACACGCAAGGAACCCAAAGTTCCACTGAAGTCTCCCGTTTGTAGTGTCGGCTTTCATCATGGTTGCACTAACACACATCTGTGCATGAGGTTTAAAGAGCGGGACTGGTTTCATTTAAAGCTTGGTGTGATCGGTTTTAGTGCTGATAAAAATCCAGCTGTAGAAACACTCACTCAGACTTCAGGACCTCCCCAACATTAGAGATGATCCAAACCCACATTTATTCTGTGGCTTTTCATCTTCTTATCTTCTCTTTTTAAATGGGCCACAGAAATAAATTCAGCCAGAGCCAAAGCAACAGTTTTTTGCTTTTAATAAGGACAGTGTGTCACCCTAGGGAAGAGATAAGAACCCACGTCTCTCTGTGTTGTGTCTGCACAGGGATTCTTACGCCCCCTTTCGTGCCGGACTCCAAAACAGTTTACGCGAAGGATGTCGACGACGTCGGAGCCTTCTCCACGGTTAAAGGCGTGCAGCTGGACGACAAGGACGTGGACTTTTTCGACGAGTTCGCCTCGGGGAACATCCCCATCCCCTGGCAGGAGGAGATGATCGAGACCGGCATCTACGGCGAGCTCACAGTCTGGGGTCCGGGTGGCACTTTACCCAACGACCTGCGGCGGGAATCCATCCTGGAGCAGCCGCCCAAGTCCTCCACCTGCGCTGTGTCGTAAAGGGTTTCAAATGACATGAACTTTTTGCTTTTTTGAGCACTTTTTGTACAGGTGGTCAGTACAGGTTAGACATAAGTGTATTTCGTCATGATAAAGTTGCACTGGTGGAACTGCTCTGAGCCATAATCAGGTTTTTACAGTATTATCTGCACTTTGTGTTCAGTTTGTTGCTGTAATGTCATTTTGACTTCTCTTTGAGTTTTACAGGAACGATTGCTTATTCATTGTTTGTGCGCGTGGACCGCAAAAAACAGAGAATTTATATATTTTATTATCCTGCTTTTGTTTGTCTGCTTTCTTTGCCAGCATTCAGACTCTCTGAAATGCAACTTAATTAATCAAAAACACCTGCACAGGTGAGAGCATGTATGCAGGTTTACATCTGTGTTTCCACTTTTCAGCTCTAACATTTTTGCACACTTTAATAACAGTCTACTCGTAGCTGTAGAGATATTTATGGATTTAAATAAATACTTTGCCATTAAAATCAGGATTTTGTGTTGTTGTTTTTTTCCTCCACTAATACACACAGCGACAAAGACATCAGGTAATAATAAATATTCATCCGGTCCTTACCGAGTTTAATTCAGTGACAGCAAGGAGCCCAAATCATCACCCCTCCACCTCCGTGCTTGACAGCTGGAGTGTTTGTTCTGTGTGGTTTTTATTCAACCCTGAGCTGTGCTGTCATGTTCCTTTTAGAGAGAAGACACTTTCTCCAAATAATCCATACTGTCATGAACTTTAACATAACACAACTACAAGTGCTGACCTTGGTGTGAATTTGCTGGTACATCCACTCCTGAGAAGGCCAACAGATGTCTTGAATGATTTCAACTCTCACTGTGGAATAATAGACTTTAAATTGTCTTGATGCATGCTCAATCATCCAGGTAAGTAAATCTCCAAACATTGATTCTGTTCATCCTGACGTCCAGATGAACAGTATCAACTTTTGGAGACTTTAAATTGTAAAGAATTGATAGTGTTATAGTTTTACACTATTTTACACACTACAGTTTAAGCACCAAATGGAAAAAACGAATACCTGCACATTATATCCTAACATGAAAAAGAGTACACAGTGATAAAGGTCTGATTTGTGGTACCTCAGCTTCCTCCCACGGTCCAAAGACACGCAGTTAGTGGAGTTATGTTAACTGGTGACTCTAAAGTGACTCTTGAGAGTGAATGGGTGTCTGTCTCCCTGTGTTAGCCCTGCGAGAGACTGGCGACCGTTCAGGGTGAAGCCCGCCTCTCTCGCCATATGGCAGCTGGGATAGGCTCTGAATTTAATAAGCTGGAAAAAAATGTTTGAGTCTTTGAACATATTTACCTTCATGAAAAATCAAATTTTAATGTCCTACATATGAGCTTATTTATATTTAACCGACAGGCAAACAGGATGGGCAACAATTTCCAGAACATCCCACGAAGTGTCCTCACCTCATAGGTGTGTTGCTAATTCCAATCTTAGCCGACGGAGGGCGCTGCAGTCCTATATTTCTTTTACATCTACAGCAAGTGCGCTGCATCCCGACCAGGTGTGATCCATCCGTCTGCAAACATCAACACTCAGCAAGCATACATCAAACCCTCTGTTGCATCACATCGTGCGTAAAGTTTGATCGTGTAATTACTTTCAGCATAAATCAAATCGGAGATATATATCGACTTATGTAAGATCAATAACTGAATAATTGATCACCGAGGTGAATACAGGAAGCTGATTGGCCTCTCTCTCTCTGTGTGTCGCTCTCCTTTTAAGGCTTCAAGTAAAGTTGAGCCCTCGTGAGCTCAGAGGCAGTCAGCTGTGATCAGACCCCACATCTGGACACTGAGTGGATTACAACAAGAAACCTGCTCGAACCTGCAGCCTCGAAGGGGATGAGGAGTCGGTTTTAAAGAGACAGAAAAGTCGAGAAATAAAACACTGCGAGAATCGCCTCCATCCTCCTGATCTGTCTCTTCGTTTCAGGGCAGATCCATCCTCGCAGAGTGAACATGCAGCAGCCCGAAACCCCGCAGATAAGTCGGCAAACTGCGCCTGAACCTCTGGATCCAACAGGTACACCTACAGTCACTTTCTCAGTCAACAGACCTGAAAATGTTACCTTTTAATTTATTTTATTTTATCTTTTAGATTTTATATATATATAATATATATATATATATATATATATATATATATATATATATATATATATATATATATAATCTTATTTATTCATCTAGGATTATTTGTCCAGGAAGCGTTTATGTGTAGTTAAATATCTGAGGAAAAGGTTGGATAACTCCTGCAGAGTTTAATTCTCAGATAAAAGGGACTTTATGTGAGACAAGTTCAGGAAAAAATAGATTTACTCACATAGTTTTATGCTTTTCCTTTTTTTAAATCCTGCTTTACTGCACTGTCATTTAATTTTCACTCTACTGTTCATTCATTGTTTTCCTTCTGTGTAATAAAAATTTCCTGAGCATGTCCTTCTAAAGAAAAACATCTCAAAAATGAGATGTGCTGCAAATGATAAACCTACAATAATAAAGAGACAAATGAAGGTGCCTTGACATTAACATGAGGCATTTCAGCTGCATGATTGCAACAGTCAGCAGTCTAAACCATCACAATCAGGCGAGTTGGGTGAAAGATGTTTCCTGAGTGTGTTTGAATGTAAAAGAGGTTTTCTGTCACCCTGCAGCTCAGTACCATCGTCGGAGGAGAACTGCTCTGTGGGTGACCATCTCTCTGCTCACTCTGGGTCTGCTGGTGCTGACCGTAGGTCTGATCTCGGCCACTCGCACCGACAACGTGCCGGTCGTTGGACTATACCCGGGCATAATAGTGAGTGGCGGTCACCTTTACTCAGTTAACGTGCTCTCAGTCATGAAACAGACATTTCTGCTCCTCTCTCAGACCCTTCACGTGTATACTCACAGTTTCTGCTTTCTGTGCCCTGCAGTTGAGTTTCGGAGCATTTCTGGGTATTGTTGGCATCCACCTGGTGGAAAACCGCAGACCTATGGTGAGTGTGCTCCTCTTGTCAGATTCAAATGCGGATGATGATTTCAGTTATTCTTGTCCTCCAACACCTGTTTGTCTCCATGTAGACCTCCATATTCTTAAATCAGACCTCAAATAATCAGAAACTTTAAAAAATAAACTGACTGGTTATAACATTTCTGGTTTGATATAGGTATAAGTTTTTACTCCCATAAAAAAAAATCCCTCAGATGAAGTGACCAATATCCATCCATCCATTTTCTTCCCCTTGTCCAATTCATGGTTACCAGAGGCAGGGTAAACTGGACAGGTCAACAAAAACAGAGTCAAAGTGTTTTCTATCCAATATTCACACCCTGTGAATGCATCAGGAGCAACTCAGAGTTCAGTATCTTGCCCAAGGGTACTCTGCCATGCACACTGTAGCAGCCAGGGATCAAACCACTAACCTACCTAATTAGCACACGACCTGCCCCACCTCCTAAACCACACCTCTATTTCAAGAAATGATATCTAGCACAGGTTTTTGGAGGATTTTCTGCATCACTGGCTGATTACAACCAAATTATTTGCATAAGGAGGAGCTGCAAGTGTACTTAAAATTATGGTGCATGTCTACATATATTTACCCTCAAACAGAAGCATCAGTTAATGTGTGTTTACATCACCACAGCCTTGTTGGGGGGTTTGCTCTCAGGTGATATCTTACATATGAGTGATTTATTCGGTGTATGGGAACATCTGGCTCAGTTATGTAAAATGTGAAGTTGGTCAGCTTCAGTCACATGCTGCTAGTTTGCACCGGTATGGCTTCATCACAGACATGTGGGTGAAGCAGGTGAAGCTGCACTGAAGCCTTTTTTTTGTGCGATTTCTGTCAGCTTTTTAATCTCCATCACACTCATCCTCCAAAAATGAGGCTTTGTTCCTGGAAAACAGGATATATATACATCACAAATTAAAGGATTATGTTACAAACTTTACAAATTCCCTAAACTGTTTTGTGGGAATTTGCTCTTATGAGCACGAAGCAAATCGGATTACTCACGGGAGGCCTAATGCATCCTCGGTCCTTGTGCCCGGGTTAGTGTGCGTCACAGGATTTGCGGTGAGAGGAAGTGAATATATTTTTCTCTGGACTTCAGTGACAAGAAGAGAAATTGGGTTAGTATTGGTCAGTTGCTGACAGCGCCCCTTTATTTGAGGCAGGGACACAGGTATTATATCCTCACAGTGGCTCTCTGTGCTCAAAGAAACGATCATGTTAAATGATTCAGGAGTGGTGATTACAGGTAGGCCTGTCTACAGAAAGATTAGAGCTTCTGAAAAACTCCACAGTACATAAAGTGGATTTCGAATGTGAATTAGGAGGTTTTAAAAATGGCCACAGCGCTGAGCTGTTTGTGTCGGCTGCCAACAAGGCCAACGCTGCCTCAAGACCAGCAGCAACCAGAAGCTGCGCTGTGACATTTAAGTCGGCCGGTCAGGATCACATTCACAGCACATGAAACCCAGCATGAGACTAAGTGTGTGACATCAGTGAGGTACCACTCCTCGTTTTTCACCTGCAAGTTTGTCCTGATTTTAACGCTCAGCTCATCCAGCTGTCGAGCTGAGGTCTGATTAGTTTTCTCAGCTGCTTCGCTGGATAACAGAGGTTATTCGGGCTGGCATGCTGGATGTTGTAGCTCTGTAACCCTCACAGGGGAATTCCTCAGTATTTAAATTCAAAGCAGAGCCTTGGTAGTGACTGTCAGCCTTCAGTCTCTCTGAGGCTCCTCAAACTGAACAGCAAGAAAACTAAACTGTTCCTGCTCTGGAAAGTGCCGGACCTCCTCTTTGACGTCTCATCATTTTCCCGAGGTCAGCAGCCCATGTGTCATTCTGGACTCCACCCTCTCCTCCTCACCATCAAAAATCAAATTCATCTCCAAATCTGCCTTTTTTTTTACCCCCTGTTGATCTCCAATCAACCATCGATTTCAAATATTGCAACTAAAATCATTCATGCCTTCATCTCCTTCCTCCTCGACGGCGTCCTGTTTGCTTTCCCTTCCAGACCTCTGGACGAGCTGCAGCATGTTCTCACGGCGGCACATCTCGCCCCCACCCTTACGCCTGATTTAGACTTCTGAAATCTTTTTAGAGCCTAAATAAGCGGCTGGCGTTGTTGCCACTGTTGTTGTGGAGGTAAGAGAAGGAGGGCTCAGCTAAGTGCTTGTAAGATTAAAGCACTGTAATCCAGTCGGGGGCGTGAAATTATGGCCCCACAGGCATAAAAATATTTCACATTTCAGTGTGCTGCGTGTGGAAAAGTGCGTAAGTTGATAAAGCTAGCTGAATGTAGGCTGATTGGATCCTGGTCTAGATTACTGAATGGCAACGGTGATAAATGACCCTTTGTCATGTTTGGTTTCTGAGAGACTCGGTATGATAAGGGTGTTTTCAAACCACAGAAGGTGTCGAAGCTAAAGCAAATATTTGATTACACAGGGTTTTCTTATTAATGGAGGAGTACGGGCGTGGTTGATGACGGGTGTATTAAAGCTGCATTTGAGATGAGGGCATCGGATTTTGTAAAGACATTGCTTCTGCGTTTGGATGTGTCCTTTTATTTCATTTCTTTGGTTTTTTCTGGTGCGTGAAGGAGCTCCTGTCTAATCAGGGTGCAAATAAAGATAAAGGTTTTGTAGATAGGAGGTGAGGAAATCTGCCCCCCTCGCTGTAGTATAACAAACAATGAATTTAGCAAGAAGCAAACGATCCAACAGACTTTGTGAGTGAGTGAATGGGTGTATGACGCACTCAATTAGGCCTCCGGGTCATCAGGTCTCAGGTAAACGTTTGGCTATAGCAGCCGTATTTGTCAAATGATCGTGTGCTAAAGGGAAGTGAGTTAGATTCAAGTAAACTGTGTCCTAAAACAGATCGATTCTTTTTTCCTGTCCCTGAATGACTGCACCTGAATTTCTGTGTGTTTGTGTGTCTGTGCTGTGAATTTTTCATGTGTTGTCCAGGTGTCGTGGACCTGGTCAGATCACATTGGCTCTGCAGTGTATCGTATCTGATCTGGTCTACCAAGATATCCTTGTGCTTGTTCACATATGTAAAGAAATGTAGCATGTGTGTGTGTGTGTGTGTGTGTGTGTGTGTGTGTGTGTGTGTGTGTGTGTGTGTGTGTGTGTGTGTGTGTGTGTGTGTACGGCCCACAGGGTCCAGTATAAACCTGCTTTTAAAATCTTTATAAAGATCTGCAGTCCTCGTTGTTTCAGTTCTCAGACTGTGTGGATTTAAATGTGTGGACAGCAGGAAAGACACCGAAAGCTGCCGTCTCTGTCTCTCTGGCATCACTCCCAGCTCTGTGCTTTAAACTTTAATGGTGTGATCGCTGGTCTACGGTGTCTCTTATAAGGCACACGTGGCACGGCTCTCACGTAGGTATCTTCTTCCCTCTTGCATCTGAGGCTTGTCCTGTAACACGAGAGCTGGCTCGCAGAGCGAGGCCGCTCATTAAAGAACAACTAACTGTGCCACAATGCCGCGGACACCTGAGAGCACCGGAGCCTGCCTCGCTTCCTGGGTTGGCCAACGCTTTTGGTCCTTTGACTTCATACAACAGCAGATGAAGATTTTGATGTGGTTTGAAGAGAAGTGATAAGCTCATCTACTGCAGTCAAACAGAAGTTTCCTGTTTGAATGAAGGTTTGTAAAATCAAATCAAATCAATTCAAATTCAAATTCAAATTTTATTTGTCACGTACACAGTCATACACAGTACGATATGTAGTGAAATGCTTGGACAACTGCTCGTGACCTAAAGAAAACAAAAAAGGAAAAGGCTATGAATAAGATAGGAAATAAATATGAAAAATTAAAAAGGGTAAATTTAACTAGGAAGGAATAAAATATAAATTAAGGTTAAAAATGAAATAACTGTACAACACAAATTAGAATGAAGGGTAAATTTAACTGGGAAGGAATAAGATAAAGATAAATATATAAATTAAAGTTGAAAATAAAATAACTGTACAACAAAATACACAGTATAGAACTATATAAGAATGTATGAAGAAATCTAAATATAAATAAATATATACACAATAACAGCAGCTGTACAAGTATTAACCGGAAATGAAGAATATAGTGACCAGTGTTGTGCAAAACCAAAGTCCAGAAAGTCCAGTGTGTGTGTGTAAGAACCGTATGTGTGGGTCAGTGCTGTGTGGTGGTGTGATTGAGAGACCGTATCGCCTGCGGGAAGAAGCTCCTCCTCAGTCTCTCTGTGTTGGTCTTCAGGGAGCGGAATCGCTTTCCTGACCTCAACAGAGAGAACAGTCTGTTGTTGGGATGGCTGAGGTCCTTCACGATCTTCCTGGCCTTGGTCCAGCACCGCCTGCTGTAGATTGAGTGCAGGTCAGGGAGCTCGGAGCGGATGGTGCGCTCAGCTGACCGCACAACCCTCTGTAGAGCTCGTCTGTCCTGCATGGTGCTGTTCCCGAACCAGGTTAAGATGTTTCCCGCCAGGATGCTCTCTATGGTGCACGAGTAAAAGTTCCTGAGCACCTTGGAGGGCAGTTGGAAGTCTCTCAAGCGTCTGAGGTGGTAGAGACGCTGTCGGGCCTTTTTCACCACGGTGTTGATGTGACAGGACCATGACAGGTCCTGCGTGATGTGAACTCCGAGGTATTTGAAGCTGTCCACTCTCTCCACTGGGCACTCGTTGATGACGGGGGTCTGGTAGTTCCTCTCCTGCTTAGTGCTGAAGTCCACTATCAGCTCCTTTGTCTTACTGACGTTTAGAAGGAGGTTGTTCCTCTGGCACCAGTTCTCCAGATTCCTAATCTCCTTCAGGTAGGCCGTCTCGTTGTTATCAGAGATCAGGCCCACCCAAATCAAAGCAGCTAAAATGAAATTTTATAGCAGTTTTTATGCACATTAGAATTCTCAGGTGAGGTTGACATACTAAATAAAAATAACAACAAATGATAAGTGGTAAAAGTGACCAAAAAAGTATTATATAGA